CTAACACATGGTATGATACAGCTTCATGGATCAGTTTGTATTTCAGCAATAACTTCTGCAGTCACTGAATTACATTTGTCTGATGATGTCAAGAAGATAAACCAGTTCCATCAGCAGCATAATTTAGGAGTCAAAAGATTTTCCATGCCGTAATTTATTGGCATAGAGAGAGGGATTTCTTTAACCTTCCATTTTGCCTTGCGCCGGAGTGTTGAGTATTGTCTGGGCACATAAATCTTGTTTTCTGAGAAAAAAAGTAAACTTTACATATGGTTTCAATTTGCTCAGAATCACAGGACGTCCTGAAGCGGAAAGGACCGTAAGGATAATCAAGTCCCACCCCTGCTCCTCACAGAACTACTTCCATCTTCCTGCATCACTTTGAAGTTCTATGACTCAAAATATGCATTATTTTGATTTCTCTGGAATGCTATGAATAGCTGGCAACAACTACAGGAGACTGAATTCTATGCCCTACATTGTCTTGCCCAACCTTACATCCTCTCCTACAAGCCCCTGCAAAGCTTCAATACCTGTTCATCATGCCCTTAGTCTTCCAAAGAGGCTACAAGAACAAAACCAACCAAATTAATCCCCTTCCATACCCTGTAATGTAAGGACACCACATTTTTTAACTACTGATAGTATTTGTAGCTATTAAATATCCCTACTCCCTGTCTCCCTGTTTTCCCATTTCCAGTACTAATAATGCTACTACTTTGATCATACTCATAGTATTTGTTGCAGGCCAGAAGAGCAGAGCAGGACAGGACAGCACTCATGTGGTGCTCTCACTGTCTTCCTACATGTCAACAGATACCATGTGAGCTCTATTACTTACTGTTCCATGCATTGTCAGACAAAAACACTCAACTGATATCTAAACCACCCTGCTTGGGTGCTAAGAGGACACATTTGGAATGCTCAGAAAGCTCATGGAAAGATCTTTTAGCTATGTCTAAGCAGCTATGCTGTGTGCCCACAGACAGATAACACTTTTCTCATCTATGCTCTTTGATACTCCGAAACCAAGCAAAAAACCAAACCAAGTTTCTGAGATTGCCACAAATGCAAGACACTTAGTAAGAAGCAGCATTTTAGGCAGGTATTGAACTTCTTAGAAGTGCCATTTACTTAAAATGTCTAACACTTTACCTTATGACTTACTTGAAAAATGTGCTTTTCCCAGATTGGTCCAATACAGAATTCCAGAGTCACATTCAGACTGTTTAAGCATGACTCCAGATCACCTGAAAATGCACCTGTGCACAAGAGTTCCAAGAAATGTCCTGTTGCCTCTGCTCAGATCCAACGAGAGACACACCAGTGAGGACAACTCTTCTGGGCACCTATTCAGATCAAGCTAAACAGACAAATAGGTACTAAACAACGAACACTAAGAAATAATCATTTCAGGACACCAAGTGATCGCAGAAATGGACACAGACACTCAGACCAATTCAGCACGGCCAGAGATGTGTCAAACAGTTTGTCAGCAGAAACTCCAACCTAAATTAAAAGCCAAAGGACTGAACCAACAATTCTATCCTATTCTTGCTGAAAGGAACAGGTATTCTGACCCGGATCAAGCTCACCCTGCACAGGAGCGATGACACAAAGCAGCAGTGAGCAATGCAGCCACAGCTGGAACCTGCCACAGAGTAAGAAACAAACTTACAAGGGCCAAATACCAAGAAGCTGTAAGAGAAGCTAGACACACAGTCAGGAAAGCTAAGGCACAGTTGGAATTGAGGCTAGCCAGGGACATTGAGGATAAGAAAGTCTTCTATAGGTATGCCGCATGTAAAAGGAAGGCTAGGGCTAATGTGAGCCCTCTCCAGAAGGAAACAGGAGAACTGGCTACCTTGGATATAGAAAAGGCTCAGTTTCTTAATGACTTCTTTTCCTTAGACTTCAACTCCAAGGCCTCTAGCCATTCTGACCAGAGCAAGAAGGGCAAAGGTGGAGACTGGGAGGGTGAAACCTCTAAACCCACTATAGAGGATCAGGTTTGAGACCATCTCAGGAACCTGAATGCGCATAACTCCATGGGTCCTGATGAGATTCATCCTCAGATCCTGAGGGAACTGGTCAATGAAGTTGTGAAGCCACTACCTATAATTTTCCAGAGATCCTCTCTAGCCATCCAGAGCAAGAAGGGCAAAGGTGGAGACTGGGAGGGTGAAACCTCTAAACCCACTATAGAGGATCAGGTTTGAGACCATCTCAGGAACCTGAATGCGCATAACTCCATGGGTCCTGATGAGATTCATCCTCAGATCCTGAGGGAACTGGTCAATGAAGTTGTGAAGCCACTACCTATAATTTTCCAGAGATCCTGGCAGTCAGGTCAAGTCCCCAACAACTGGAAAAAGGGAAACGTGAAACCTCTAAACCCACTATAGAGGATCAGGTTTGAGACCATCTCAGGAACCTGAATGCGCATAACTCCATGGGTCCTGATGAGATTCATCCTCAGATCCTGAGGGAACTGGTCAATGAAGTTGTGAAGCCACTACCTATAATTTTCCAGAGATCCTGGCAGTCAGGTCAAGTCCCCAACAACTGGAAAAAGGGAAACATAATCCCCATTTTCCACAAAGGCAAAGCAGAAGAACGAGGGAATTATATACCTGTCAGTCTCACCTCTGTGCCTGGCAAAATCATGGAGCAGATTATTCTGGAAGCCATGCTCAGGCAAATTAAAATCAAAGAGGTGATTATTAATAACCAACACGGCTTTACCAGGCGCAAGTCATGCCTGACAAATTTGGTGGCCTTTTATGGTGGGGCCACAGCATTTGTCGATAGGGGCAGAGCAACTGATACCATCTACCTGGACTTATGCAAAGCATTTGACACTGTCCCACATGACATCCTTGTCTCTAAATTGGAGAGACATGGATTTGATGGGTAGACCACTCGGTGGATAAAGAAATGGCTGGATGGTTGTATGCAGAGAGTTGTGGTCAGCAGCTCAGTGCCCACGTGGAAGCCAGTGAGGAGTCGTGTCCCTCAGGAGTCGGTGCTGGAGCTGATGCTGTTCAACATCTTTGCCGGCGCCATGGACAGTGGATGGAGTGCACCCTCAGTATGGTCACTGACAACACCAAGCTGTGTGGGGCAGTCGACACACGGGGGGAAAGGGATGAGCCATCCAGAGGGACCTTGACAAGCTTGAGAGGTGGAACAATGCAAACCTCATGAAGTTCAACAAAATGAAGCGCAAGGTCCTACATCTGGGCCATGGCAATCCCAGGCACTTATAGGTTGGATGAGGATGTTATTGAAACCAGCAACAAAGTGAAAGACTTGGGAGTGACAGTGGATGAGAAGCTCACCATGAGCTGCAGTGTGAGCTCAGCCCAGAAAGCCAATCAAATCCTGGGCTGCATCCAAAGGAGTGCGGCTAGCAGGTGATAAGAGGTGATTCTCCCCCTCTACTCTGCTCTCATGAGACCCCATCAGGAATACTGCATGCGGTTCTGGTGCCCACAATATAAGGATGACATGGAACTGTTGGAGCAAGTCCAGAGGAGGTGACAAAGTTACTTAGAGGACTGGAGCATCTCCCCTATGAGGACAGGCTGAGGAAGTTGGGGCAGTTCAGCCTGGAGAAGACTGCGTGGAGACCTCAGAGCAACTTTTCAATATCTGAAGGGCCTACAAGGAGCCAGAGAGGGACTCTTTGCTAGGAACTGCAATGAAAGGACAATGGGTAACGGATTCAAACTGAAGGAGGGGAAGTCTAAGTTGGATGTGAGAAAAGAGTTTTTTCCTGTGAGGGTGGTGAGACACTGACACAGGTTGCCCAGGGTCATGGTGGCTGCCCCAACCCTGGCAGTGTTCAAGGCCAGGCTGGATGAGGCCTTGAGCAACCTGATCTAGTGAGGAGGAGTCCCTGCCCATGGCAGGGAGGGTTGGGACTAGATGACCTCTAAGGTCCATTCCAACCCCTAAATTCTATGATCCTGCGATCTACAATGGAACCCACACAGGTACACATGAGGACATCACTCCTACTGCAATTCACATCAGTCCTCCAGAACACTCTTGGCTTGCAAAGCCAGCTAACACCTAACCTTCACTTGCTTTTTTAGCACAGGGAAGCAACATTTCTTCTCAATGACTATAAGATGTTTTTCATTTAATTATTAAAAGGTACTGACATACTACAATTCAAAGAAAGGCTATCCAAAGCCAGAAAGAAGGATTCTGCTACGGAAGAAACCTTGACTTAAAATCCCTCTTTTGTTCTCCTTTAGTCTTTAAGAAAATATGTTAAGTTCTTCTTCTCTTCTGCATTATTTTTAACTTCAGATTACCAGAGCTAAGCTGTGCTCTAGTGTACTGTTAATGGAACAGATAAAATATCTGCAAGTACTTAATGGTATCATTAACAGACATGAAAAAAGGTCAGTGAGTAAAGGAAGAGTTTAAGAGAAGAGATTCAAAAGACATTACATAAAGTAACACTAAAAACTCCTCATCACCTGTCACACTTTCTGATTCAAGATCTTATTTCCATAGTCTAAACAAAATGAGCTTCCCAGCCCAGAGCTAATAACCCTCCACACTCATGCTGCCCTTCCAATTTTATGCCTCTGAAAAGTGTGGACACACACAATTCCTCCCTGTGAAGCATTCAGGAAAACATGTAAGAGCACAGAGTGATGAGGAACAAACCACCTCAGGGGGGAAAATTTCTGTATTTTTATGACAGAAAAATAAATAATTCTTTTTAAAAATGGAGTTTCAAAATATTCAACCTGATGGATGGCACAGCCCAGGCAGAGATGCATTGGCTGTACAATTGGACACATTACTCAAAATACCAGTGAGACAATTTCATCATAAATATTATTTAGCATCATACAAATACTACTGCACAGAACAATTCAAAATGTAACTCTCCTCTGACTTCAAATCCCTAGTTACACACCAAACCCGCATCATGTCATTTCTTAATAACCACACATCATCTCTAAAATTACTCTTACCTTCCTCAGTTTCTACTGGCTGCTGGGATAGAATTTTAAGAAGAACTGGATTTTTCCATACTCCTTCCCTTGTGATATCCACCAATATCTGGAGGTTGTTATTCCCAAATTCCAGTAAAGCATCATGTGAATCCTACAAAACATAAGGAAAAAAAAGTCATTAAAAGTCTTTGCTAACAATTAAGCCAATGCAATTTTACATTACCTGTCCTAATATTTCACTGTATTCTAACAGTTTCATACCACTCCTCCCAGCTATTCCTGCTTGGACATGTTTGCATTGGGACTTTAATAGTCTGAAGTCCTTTCACTTCTCTAATCCTACAGAACTTCCCAATTTCAGACTTCTGAGTTGCTGAAATAGCTTAACTCAAACAGCCTATTCTGCAGCTGCAACTCTTCTGAAATCGGTATGTTTATCCATGTACATGTGCATATACAAATAAAATTCCAGGAACTACTGTAGAGAAGACAATGCAAAATTTTGTATCAAAGCACACAGTGCTATTGAAGCACCTGGAGTGAAGACTGAATAGTTTTCAACACAAGTAACAAAATGTCATGTAAAATTGTACATTTGGTATTGACAGTAGGGTTGAGATGGTCCATCCTCTTCTTCCAGAACCTGGAAGGCTGTCACTCACTCGTTGAAGAAAAAGTGGGGAAGCAATGTAATGGGAAATTTCATCATTAAGATGAAAACATCCTTCTACTGGATATATTTCCTTAGAAATGAATCTATGTCCAGTGCATTTACTCCAAGATCCGGGGATTTCTGATCCACCTTCAGCTGCTAATCAGACTCCTAAAGTTTGGTGCTTGACAGGGACTTTGATGTGGCATAGTCTCTGTAGAGAAGCTGCCAAGAGTTGCCCTCAGACTATCATCACTTGCTGCCGGCACACCTGGACACCAACCACACCACACACTCGAGAAAATACAGGGCTCAGGGGGCCAAACTGAGGGACATGAACATCCATCTGCTTATCTTCACTTTGCTGAGAAAAGCAAGGGCCAAGGCATATGTGAGAACAGCTCAACAAGATGGGACACCAAGTAACAGAAGACACTGAAGAGGCTCAGTAACTTTGCCTCAAGCTTTCCTGTTAAGATCTGCACTCTGCCCTTCTTGGTCCCTGTTGCCAGTGGCAGAGCTGGGGGCAGGGAAGGGCCATGCATCAGCACCAAAAAGTTAAGACAATCACATTGGCATCCAACCACATCCAGTAACTGACCACCTTCTGTGAAGAGCTAACAGGCTACAGATGACATTAGTCACACTTGGCAAGGTTTCTGACAGTCTTATGCTGTGTATTTAAAATCAAATTGAGAAACAAAGGAATAGTGGACAAAATGCAGGTGAAAAAACAGTTCAATGGCCATGTTGGGAAGGCTTATGTCAAACTGTACAAACCACAACTGGCAGCTATTTCCCAGCTATTTTCTTCAGGGTCAGCACTGAGCTGATACTTTTAACACCTTTATTACCTAAATAATGGCACATTCTCTGCCAGTCCACAGTTCATACAGGACCTGGAGAGCAGCTGACACTGCAGGGCAGGGTGGGCACTAAGACATTCAATGGCTGCAGAACATTGCTGACAGGGACTCACTGAAGCTCTGCACAGGTAAATGTGAAGTGCTGACCCTGGCACAACCGCCAGTAACCAGCTAGCTGGGTTCCAGTTTGGCTCCACAGGCCTCTAGCAGTGAGTCCTTACTGCAAACAAGGTGAGCAGTGCTGAACAGTATTCCCCTTTGGCACTTTGGAGACTCCACTGGAGTACAGCACCCAGTCCGCAACTGTCCTGTACAACTCATCTGCCACAGTGGAGCACGTCCAGCAAAGGTCACCATCTCTGGAAGAGAGGGTGAAGAGAGAAATCCTAGAGCTATCTTTATCGCCACAATATTCCCCAGAAGGCAGTCGGAGCTGGGCTCTTCTTTCTATGTAGCGAGGAAGACACATGAAGGGCAATTCTGTAAAGTGTGTGTGTGGGACGTGTTTCAGCGTTTGAATACTCTCACTTTGAAGGGACTGCCCGAAGCTCGTGCATTCTCCATTTCCTAGAGACACAACACTCAGTGGGGCAGGACCCTAAGCAACCTGTTTCAGGACAGTCCTTACTCCACAGGTAACTGAGCTTCCTTCCATTTCCAGCTACCTCATGACTCTACCAAACAGACACCTTCGGAGTGCTGCAGATTCAACGCAGTCACTAGACATACTGAAAGTACACTTGGTGGGAGTCAGTGCTTCTGCACCACAAGAGTACTTCTCAGACTGCAAGAGCAAAACCAAACCAACATCAGAAGTGAGTGGTAAAACACACATTAGGTGTTCTTTCCAAACACAGAGGTACAGTGAAGACTTCCATCTTCTACAGAGCATCAAAAAGTCTCATAGTTGAATCCGACAATTGAGCACTTTTGATAACTTCAGCCATCTCATATTGCTTAGCAGTAGCCAAGACTAGAAGAGTTGGTGCTAACTGACAGATGCAGAGAGAGCAAATACGATGCTTTACAATGACTGATTTCCGGCCTTGGGCCTGAAATGTTACTGACAATGTCAAAGAGATGAAAAGTAACTTTGCAGCGTCCCAGTCAGATCCTGAAGACGCAAATGATGCCACATGTTCTTGACCAGAGCTCAAACTACTCTTAGCTAGCAACAGAGATTGACATATGAGCTCCAACACACAAAGCTTTCAAGCTGTGTCTAAGATTTTGAAAACATCATTTAAGTAATCCTTACTCTTACACAGCTGTTTCTCTTCTCAGGTCTTTGCTTCCTGTACAAGCTGGATCAGTAAATCAAATTCACTTGAAAGAGCCTCAGGGGAGGAGTGGGGTGTTTAGTTTTGCTTTTCAGAATTAAAGCATGATCAGTGCCCCACTTTACACCAAGCTGAATGCCAGGCCAACAGAATCAGGCAGGTGAATGCTTAAGTCAGTGCTGCTGCCAAAAGATGCTCAATTTGTAGCCTCAAGACAGCTTTAAAAATGTCAGTGGAAAACAACAAACTGATCTAAATTTGTATCCATGAGGTATCTAACCCCAGTCCAGTTTCTGTAAGTGGAAGTTATGATCCTATAGGAAATCTATGTATATTATTTTATCCTCAGACATGGATGATTTATCCTCAGACATGAACAGTTACAGGTATGCAGGCAGAAGGGACACTGCATCTTACCCACAAAATAAATACAAGCTCATTTTGACAACCTCTGCTTTTGGCCTTTTCTAACTGCATGGCATCATGCATAAGTCTTTTCAATACAGCAGGCTGCCAGAGCACCCACGGTGCACTCCCCTCCCTCACACTCACATCACAGTGTTAACCTGTATCTGTCTCAAGCGTAGATCAAGTCAAAGACTAAGTTCAAAAACTGTCAGCATTTAAAAGCCTATGAGTTCAAACTTCACCTGGAAGACTCAACTCAATGAGTTTTACTGAGCTGCAGTCCTCTGTGAAGGCATCTAACACAGGTGTTGTGCCTGGGCAAAGGGTGGAACTACCAATCAAAGCACTGAGGAGGTCGAAGCCACAGCCTCAGACATCCAACATGTCCTCCCAACAGCAACTCTTCCCTAATCTGAGGGCTTCAGGATGCAGTCCACAGACAGCAGAGCCCAGTCCAGTTGTGAGGACGATCATTCACATTTCAGCACCTTTGCATTAAGAGCTCAAAGAACCTTAGCAGGTTAGAAAAAAGGGGCCTATTACACAAGTAAACTGATTTGCTGAGTCAGCACTGTGTTTGCAATTCAGGGTGTCAATACCAAAATACAAAATATTAAATTCACCAACATATTCAGAATTAGTAACTACTGACAGTACAATCCCCTTCTGTTAGAGATGCTTAGCTGAACCTTGTTGGACCTACTGAAGAATATAAATATAAAAGTCTACTATGAATACATCAAAAGTCTTTGATGAAATCTAATGCAAAATTTAAGCATCTAGATCTCATTAAGTGAGGACAACACCATAAACAGGTCCTAAAGAACAGGACATATTTTGCTCCGTGAAGTCAGGAAAGGATAATACAGTAAGAGCCTATGGACAAAACACAAAAGAAAAGACAATCCTTGGAACAGTTTGCTGAAGACATGAAGATTTTTCAATCCTAGCAATTTAAAGTGATCAGCATCTGCTACAGTATCACAGAAGTTTTTGGCTTATGCTCACCCTCAACTCACAACTTTTCTAAAGAAAGCATTCATGCTCTTCGTAAGGCTTGAAGGGAACTCTGCCCCACAATATCCATGACAACATATGTCTACTCCCACTAAAGCCATCTTTGAATGCATGACTTCATCTTCCTCAACTGACCAGATTATCCATCCCCATGCTACCTCTCCACTGAGCTCCTTCCCTCAGATTAACTGGGTTTACCTGTACCAAGAGCCCTTGACTGGGGCAGCAGTTCTGCTCCAATCCTTTCACTTGTATTTTATAGCATGTCCCCATCTGTATCTGCATCCTTTTGCTTGCTGCCACTGTACAAATCCATGCTGACACTCCTGCCATACCATCTCACATCTTGTTTGCATTTTGCACTTACTGCCTCTGGTCTTGCTTAGGAAGAAGAACTGGACTCATATGGGACAGCAGGGCATAACTGCTGTTACTCAGGATAACAGAACAAACAGGTTCAGACACCAAACAACTCTTTTGATAGCATTTTGTACATAAGCTGGACATCAGTGACACTCCACTTTCAGGTCTAGGACAGCCCACACACCTTTCTGCTTGGAAATGGAGAAGCCCTCACGTTTCACACTCCTGGGATGAAAATGTATTTGAAGTTTCACTGACTCTCACTACAAGTGCAGATCATTACAGAGCAAGACCTACTGCAGGCAGATCTGAAAAATACCTCTGTCCTGCACTTGGAGTTACAGTCCTCAGAAGCCACACTTGCCCCTTTTGCTAGCAAAGCAATAAGCACATTAACGTCTGTCAGTCTGGGGCACATGATAACATATAATTTTGCAGTGCTTTGCTACTGGATTTGCTTGGAGATTGGCACATTAACATGGTCACAGACTTTAAACCTACAAGACAGCCTAGTAGTAATTCTTGTCTGAAGGTCTCTATTGCCCCTCTGTATGACTGTATACTCCTTCCCTGTTACTCTCCTTCTCTGGTGACAAGCCGATTCCTACTATATTCCAGGGCAGGGTACAAATGTTCTAATTCTCATTCATGTTTCTGTCAGAGTGCTACTTCAAAACCTTGTAAGAAGCACCTACTTGTAGAAGTCCACAAATCTCTTCAGCAAGGTTTCAGAATACCACCATGTTGAATAAGCTTTGCCTAAATCTGTTACTATCTGAACTATGGGACACAGCAGATGAGTGCTGAACTTGGTAGCCACAGCTTCAAAGAGTCACTACAAACACCAAGTATGCATTACTACACCTCACAGCAGCACATCTTGAATTTCCCCTTAGTTCCAAAAGCTGACATGACAAATCTAGGCTTAGCATCACCCTTCCACCCCTCAAATTTAACAGTTTCCTTCCAACATATTCAGCACGAATAGAGTCATCTCTTCTGACTAAAAACTGCTCTCTGTTGACAGAAGTATTAAAGCTCCATCACTTGCTTCAGCAACCTAGAAATGTACAGGGTTGTTACATCATTGAAATTATTATCCTTGGTAACAAAAATTCTCCTTGCAGATCCCCCCAGTTAAGAGCTAGTAATGCTCAGATCTGCTTTATACTACTATAATAGAATAAAGCCTGTATACATCCTCCCATACCCTGAACATGAGAGAACACCTTGTTTCAGGTCCAGGCCATCTCAGTTACAAACTTATTATATGCCTTTTAGTATACGATAAGCTCATAAGGCTTAGCGGAGACATTACCACTATGTTCAGTATTTAAAGGGTGGCTACAAAAGAGATGGATACTCCCTTCTTACAAGGAATCACATGGAAAAGACATGGGGTAATGGGTACAAGTTACTTCTGGGGAAATTCTGATTGGACAGACAAGGAAAATTTTTCACAATGAGAAGACTCAGCCACTGGAATAATCTTCCAAGGGAAGTGGTGGATTCCCCACCACTGGACACTTTTAAAATTTGGCTGGACAGGAGGCTGGGCCACCTTGTCTAGACCTTGCCTTTGCCAACAAAGGTTGAACTAGATGATCCCTCCAATCTTTTATTCTGTGATTCTGATTCACTCCTCTTTACCCAATCATGACTGGATTAGTGAACTTAAGAGCTATTTTGGACATAATAGGTTTCAACTTCTTCCATCAGCCCAAACACAACAGATGAACCTGTGGCTGACCTTCCCTTATCTGTGGCATCCCCACAAATGCATGGGTTGGGAGCACAGCCCCAGCCTTTGGCCAATAGCCACAGACTGGGTGTAACAGATGTCATAGCTGCTCATAGTCAAAATGAACTGGTACACTTTCAGACCTGGCTCCGGACTGCTGCAATGTCCACTGGGACCTGCTGCAAGCACTAAGGGAATTGCAGGACGTAGCACTCAAAACAAAGGACAAATCTTTGCCGCCACTAAGACCACAGGATTTAAACTGTACCTACTGCACTTCTTTCTATTACCAAGTACATGTCACACTCAACAGTTTTTAGAGTTCCCATAATAAATATTCCATGGTACTTCAGGAAAAAGAGGTCTGGCACACCTGAAGTCACCAGTCACAGACCACCTCTGTCCCTTCCACCACCACTTCCACTCTTGCTGCAGTTGCAATTGACTGTGTGGTTATAAATGTGCTGTTGGGCCTAAGGCTCCTAATACTGTTCCTGCAGTTAGTCTTTTGCTGCCCAGAAATTCTTGCTGCCTAGGTAACAGCAACACAGGACAGGAGGAATTCAGGGGAATGGTAAAAGAGGAGGAACACAACAGCAACCTTTTTAAAAAATATATAAATTGCAAAAAGGAAATTCAGAACGCTTACCTGAATGGACTGATGGAATCCTAACCACACTTCGTGTGGCAGTTCACTTTCAGGAATTGAAAGCAGTAGCTCAAAACAACTCCTAGAAAAGCAAAAGGCAAGTAAGCAAGCTACCTGGACACATTCTTGTTAAGTCAAATGACATTTGTGGCACATATTACTTAGCATTCAGATAAGAAATGACAGTAACACTGGAACATGTTTGCACTAATCAGTTAAAGGCCAGACACAGCCTGAGAACCAGGCATGATTCTCAAATGGAAAGAGT